ACAAAATTAGCCGGGCGTGGTGGCACATGCCTGTAATCCCAGCTACTCGGGAGGCTGAGGCAGGAGAATCGCTTGAACCCGGGAGGTGGAGGTTGTAGTGAGCCGAGATCGTGCCATTGCACTCCAGCCTGGGCAACAAGAGCGAAACTCTATATATATGTGTGTGTGTGTGTGTGTGTGTGTGTGTAACGAATCTGCACAGGTACTCCCTGAACCTAAAAAAAATTATGTATTATAGTACCTAATTTTTATTGTGTGCTAAATACACTACAAGTTATGCCATTTAATTTACATATATTTTATCATTATACTTTGTAATAATCATAGGTAATAAGTATTATTATCTCTTTTATACATGTAGAAACTAAAGTTTATGAAAACAAAATCATGTACCCAAAGTCATGATTAATAAGGGGTAAAGTTGAACCCAACTTTTTTTTTTTTTACTTTAAATCCTGTGCTTTTATTTATTTTTATTTTTTATTTTTGACACAAGTTCTCACTGTGTCTCCCAGGCTGAAGTGCAGTGGTGCGATCTTGGTTCACTGCAACCTCTGCCTCCTGCGTTCAAGTGATTCTGGTGTCTCAGCCTCCCAAGTAGCTGGGACTACAGGCATGTGGCACCACGCCCAGCTAACTTTCTGTATTTTTAGTAGAGATGAGGTCTCACCATGTTGGTTAGGCTGGTCTCAAACCCCTGACCTCAAGTGATCTGCCCGCCTCAGCCTCCCAAAAGTGCTGGAAAATGATATTGATGGACCCAAGTGATACAGTTTGTGCCAGCATATTGAGAGATTGGATCCTTCTAAATTCTTCGTTCTGCTCATGACCAGTTGCCATATACTGCAGAATGTCAACTGCCTACAAGGTAAATTTCACATTGGTCGACTCACCCTTCCTATCACTCCTGATAATGCACTCATGGTTTATGGGTTGTTTTAGTAGTATGTGGTGAACTATAAGCTGTTACAATGGGAGAAGTTTTTTTTTTAAACCTCTTAAAAGTTGATGTGTATATATATACTTACCACTAAGCATAACTTTTGAATTAGGCATGTGGCAATTCCTTTCTTGATGTTTTTAGGGAAAATGAGCCAAATAATATTTTAAAAAATGTATAAGCCAGGCTAGTTTCTATCCTTTCCTCTATTAAACTCAGGATCACACAAGTAGGCACGAGTGTGCACAAATATTTATACCTTGCATTGTTCTGAGAATTAGTAAAAGAATATCTTGAAAGCATGATATACCTTTGTGTCCAATAATATAACATACAAAGTTGTTGAATTAAAAAATAATAATAATAATGCCGCGGGGCGTGGTAGCTCACGCCTGTAATTCCAGCATTTTGAGAGGCCGAGGCGTGCTTATTGCTTGAACCCAGGAGTTTGAGATCATCGTGGGCAACATGGCAAAACCCTGTCTCTACAGAAAGTGTAAAAAATAGCCAGGAGGGATGGTGTGCAAGTGTCTCAGCTGAGGCTGAGGTGGGAGGATTGCTTGAGCCCTGGAGGTTGAAGCTGCAGTGAGCAGTGATCACGCCACTGCACTCCAGCCTGGGCAACAGAGTGAGACCCTGTCTCAAAATAACTATTATTTGACATATCAAATTTGGGCACAGTGACTAGAAACAAAATTCCACTGAGTTGAGACAGCTAGATCACAAAATTATTAGATTACAAAATATTAGGTTAGAAGTACTACTGCAGATGTTTAAACAAGGAAGAAAAACATACAAGTGGCTAGAGGTCAGGAAAGGCTTGTTTCTAAAAGATAGAATTTGTACTGGGCCTTTAAAGATGAACAGTGTTGACCGGGCACGGTGGCTCACACCTGTAATCCCAGCACTTTGAGAGGCTGAGGCGGGCGGATCACGAGGTCAGGAGATCGAGACCATCTTGGCTAACACGGTGAAACCCTGTCTCCAATAAAAATACAAAAAATTAGCCGAGCGTGGTGGCGGGCGCCTGTAGTCCCAGCTACTCGGGAGGCTGAGGCAGGAGAATGGCGTGAACCCGGGAGGTGGAGCTTGCAGTGAGCCGAGAACGCACTACTGCACTCCAGCCTGGGCAAAGAGTGAGACTCCGTCACAAAGGGAGATAAACGGTGTTTACAAAGTTGGAGCAGAAGGGAAACTAGTGAAAATAAAAGCTTAAGATACATATGGAGAATGAGGACAGGGAAGACACTGGACTGACTGCTCAGAGCAAAGTAGGCGTGTTGAGCTAAGTACTGATAGGAGCTAGATTAGCCAGGGTATGGAGAGCCTGGCAGAGTAGCTGAAATTTGATAAGGTAGAGATTAGCAAATCACTGTAGGTTCTTGAATGGGGAAAGCTTGAGAAAAGTTTTTTTTTTTTTTTTTGAGTCTTTTAAAGGCAGATCAATGTGACAGTGGGATAATATAGACAAATTTTAGAGAAGGACTGGGATCCAAGGGAGGCTAGTTAGGATGCTTTTGCAATATTCCAGATAGGAATTCCCAATAACCCAAACCACAATTATAAAAGTTACATAGAATTGGAGGAGAAAGGGAAAAACTAAGGAATATTTCAAAGACAAAAACAGTAAGATTAGTGACCAAATGCAAGTAAGATGGCAGAAAAGATAATTCACAGTATTCCCTAATCTCTAGCTTGGGGAACTGGAGAAATTGTGGTATCACAAACATAAATGAGGACATTAGGAAAAAAATCTATTTGGGAGAACAAGACTATTCAGTTTGCGATTACTGAAGCTGAAGCTATGATTTGACATGTCCTGGCAAAAGTTGGAAATAAAGAACAATCAGATTAGGCTGATAGTGGTGTGCAGGAAGAAGGGCTGCAAATGGGACATCCAGGCTAGGAAACAGAAGGGTTTGGAGGCACAGGTGATACTTTTTTCATGACTTCTTCCAGCTGAACGTGGTGCCTTTTCAAAAAGAAAGGAGTAAATAGGAATACAACAGTTGGCTCCCTAGATGGTGTCAAAGAACAAAATGAGATTTTATTTCTGGGCCATTGTTTAAGATCTTGGAACCGATGAGTTTCTGGCAAGAAATTGGGGAGTCACGAGGAAGAAAAAAAGATTTCTTTTTCTTTTCTTTTTTTTTTTTTTTGAGATGGAGTCTTGCTCTGTTTCTGACGCTGGAGTGCAGTGGCACAATCTCGGCTCACTGCAACCTCCGTCTCCTGGGTTCAGGCAATTATCCTACCTCAGCCTCCTGAGTAGCTGGGATTACAGGTGTGCGCTAGCACACCCAGCTAATTTTTGTATTTCTAGTAGAGATGGGGTTTTACCATGTTGGCCAGGCAGGTCTCGAACTCCTGACCTCAGGCGATCTGCCTACCTCGGCCTCCCAAAATGCTGGGATTACAGGCATGAGCCAGAGTGCTTGGCCTCTTTTTTGTTTTTTAACTGGGAGGAGAGGAATCATTGGGAAAGAAACAGGAAATTGCTGAAAGGAAAGAAAGAACCAAATGAAAAAATAAAGGTCTAAAAGAAATAATAATATTGTAGAAGATACCCAGTGTTTCATAAAGTTGTTATAGGTGAAAGGAAGCCAAATTTATTGCTAACATTTATTGAGAGTTTACTACATGCCAGCACTGTGGCAGATTGTTTATGTGCATTATTTTATTTAACTCTTACAGTAAGTTCAACTTTTTTTTCCACTTGACATTATATAGTGGATATCGTGTTTTTTTTTTTCTTTTTTGGGACAGAGTCTCTGTCACCCAGGCCGGAGTGCAGTAGCACAATCTTGGCTCACTGCAACCTCTGCTTCCTGGATTCATGTGATTCTCATGCCTCAGCCTCCCAAGTAGCTGGGATTACAGACACATACCACCAGGCCTGGCTAAATTTTATATTTTTAGTAGAGATGGCGTTTCACTATGTTGGCCAGGCTGGCCAACTCCTCTCAAACTCCTGGCCTCAAGTGATCCGCCTGCCTCAGCCTCCCAAAGTGCTGGGACTACAGGCATGAGCCACCGTGCCTACATTGTCATTTTTAATAGACAGATAGCATAGTATTCCATTGTATGAACATTCGTTATAGTAAGCTACAATGAACTCTCCTGTATGTATATTTTTGCCACATTTTTGGGTATATTCTTTTTCTTAAGTAACAGATAAACATTTTAATTCTAATTTTTTTGGATAATATCACAATTCAAAAATAAAAATGTAAAAAAAAATAACAAAAAGGTTTTCTTCCATTTGTGTTCCTCCTGTCACCTGAACCACTATTAGTTTTCTTGGTATCTTTATATAATTTGTTGTGTAAGCAAATATAAATATGTATTATTATTCCCCCCCTTTTTTATTCAGAATGTAAAAAGCATATTGTGATCATCTCTTTAGCATAAAATCTTAAAAGTGGTATTGCTGAGTAGAGAGTAGTTAAAATCTTAATACATATGGCCCAGTTGCTCATGAGAGAGGTTGTACAATTTAACCTTTCTACCAACAATGCATGAGTGTTACTAAATTCATGTTATTTATGTTCTAATTGCAGTGTATTTTTATATCTCAAAACTTATGGGGAGTCCAGAATAAATATTTTAAAATCACTATAATTTATAAGGTGAATTCTGGTATTATACAGAATTGATTATACAAAATACTTTGGACTTATAATTTATAACAGACAAATGGACCCAATGAGAAGGAAAGGTTTGACCTAAGTTATTATTTATCTTTCTGTGTTTTGCTTGTTGGATAGGTAGAGAAACAGGTAGAAAAATCGGTTTGTAGTATAAAGATAGAAAATAGAGCTGAATGAAACAAGCAAGCAAAGAGAAATGGGGGCAGACTTCAGATGAGAGTGAAAAAAGGGTAAACAATTCCAGTAGGTACCATAATCTGATAAGGCATATTGCCAGATCATCTCTTTTTTTTTTCTGGACTACTGTTACAGCCTCTACTTTCTATCATTGAATTGGTGCATATGATTATAATAGAAATTAAATTTTCAATGAAATGAATGTCTTTTTGTCATTTTTTTTCTTTAAATAGAATTGACTATCTGAAGAAATGGATACTTCTCCCTCCAAAAAATATCCAGTTAAAAAACGGGTGAAAATACATCCCAACACAGTGATGGTGAAATATACTTCTCATTATCCCCAGCCTGGGGATGATGGATATGAAGAAATCAATGAAGACTATGGAAATTTTATGGAAGAAAATCCAAAGAAAGGTCTGCTGAGTGAAATGAAAAAAAAAGGAAGAACTTTCTTTGGAACCATGGATACCCTGCCTCCACCAACAGAAGACCCAATGATCAATGAGATTGGACAATTCCAGAGCTTTGCAGATAAAAACATTTTTCAGTCCCGAAAAATGTGGATAGTGCTGTTTGGATCTGCTTTGGCTCATGGATGTGTAGCTCTTATCACTAGGCTTGTTTCTGACAGGTCTAAAGTACCATCTCTAGAACTGATTTTTATCCGTTCTGTTTTGCAGGTCTTATCTGTGTTAGTTGTGTGTTACTATCAGGAGGCCCCCTTTGGACCCAGTGGATACAGATTACGACTCTTCTTTTATGGTGTATGCAATGTCATTTCTATCACTTGTGCTTATACATCATTTTCAATAGTCCCTCCCAGCAATGGGACCACTATGTGGAGAGCCACAACTACAGTCTTCAGTGCCATTTTGGCTTTTTTACTCGTAGATGAGAAAATGGCTTATGTTGACATGGCTACAGTTGTTTGCAGCATCTTAGGTGTTTGTCTTGTCATGATCCCCAACATTGTTGATGAAGATAATTCTTTGTTAAATGCCTGGAAAGAAGCCTTTGGGTACACCATGACTGTGATGGCTGGACTGACTACTGCTCTTTCAATGATAGTATATAGATCCATCAAGGAGAAGATCAGCATGTGGACTGCACTGTTTACCTTTGGTTGGACAGGGACAATTTGGGGAATATCTACTATGTTCATTCTTCAAGAACCCATCATCCCATTAGATGGAGAAACCTGGAGTTATCTCATTGCTATATGTGTCTGTTCTACTGCAGCATTCTTAGGAGTTTATTATGCCTTGGACAAATTCCATCCAGCTTTGGTTAGCACAGTACAACATTTGGAGATTGTGGTAGCTATGGTCTTGCAGCTTCTCGTGCTGCACATATTTCCTAGTATCTATGATGTTTTTGGAGGGGTAATCATTATGATTAGTGTTTTTGTCCTTGCTGGCTATAAACTTTACTGGAGGAATTTAAGAAGGCAGGACTACCAGGAAATACTAGACTCTCCCATTAAATGAATACTTGATTATTATTATCTCCTTAATGTTCAATTATTAATACGTATACTGCCATTTTAATGTTTACCTATGAATGTCTTTTGTGTTATATAATTGACAGAGTGCTATATAATATATAATATATACAAATGCAGAAAATTTATTCTAGTCTAATATATTCAAATACAAATATTAAATTATAAAATACGTTATGAATCTGGTATCTTTATTGGTATTTATCAGTGTCCAGGTAAATTGTAGTAGAAGGAGAATATTAACTGCTATTACTAAATAATAGAAGACTCAAAGAAATGACCCCTTTCAGATGGAACTGAAGTTCAGAAATTAGAAATGTTCTACAAATGTTCAACAAAACTCCTTCATTTGTGAAAAATACACTATAAGGTGAAATGTTGAACACCAAACCCTGTTTTGTCATCTACTTGCATTAGAAAACTAGAAGTCATAGGGCTGGGTTGAGGCAGGAAAAGAGGAAACAAGGGAAAAGAAGTGGCTTTTTAATGACAATGGGTGGTTGTCCAAAGTTAGAACAGGAAATTGGTATTCCCCTTATTATGGCTACATTAGGTGATACATAGGAAACAGAAATAGGGAGAAGTGTGGATTCTCGCCAGTCCCACCTAGTCCATGCCATTTTGTCCCTGATGTTCGGAGACTTAACGTTGGGGTAGGGTCTGCTTATCCTCAGTTATGTAGATCTCTTCCAAGGCTGCCCTTGTTTATGATTTTGTGGCTAATGTATGTGTAAACTGCAGTAAACGTACTCCTTACTCCTGAAAAAGGCACCAACAGTAATCACAGTATAGCAGAAAATTGACATGGTATCCTGAGATTCTTTTCAAAAAGGTCTAAAAGTCTGTAAAAGGCTATATGATGGCATTAAGTCTAATTTTGGCCATTCTTACCAATTTAGCACAAATAAATGATATGGTGCTGGTTATTAAACTATTGTCTCAGGTCCACATTCCCCCTTCTATACTTTCCTCTGTAATGCTATGGCTCAAACCCTGCAAAGTACATTTTTTCTATGCCAGCTGATGTCTCACTAGGTTCCATCAATAAAGGGCATTAGAGGGAGTCTGGAAGGCAGAAGGCAGAAGGGACTTCCTCCTTTCCATTTGTTTGCAGTTTCTGTCACTGTTATCCCAGCAACAAGCAAGAGCCCTTTGCTCCAGCAGCAGCAATTGATTTCAGCCTTGAGCTTCTTTTGACATCCTCCCCACCCACAACTAGTCTCATCATATCCTTCCCCGAAGTAGTAGGATCAGCCAGACAGCATCCTCTTGGGGGTCTGAGCAATACTCAGCCAGGTCATTTGTCTAGAGTTTCTGAGACCTCATAGTCCACCTTGATTCTCCCTTCTCATTAGATCTAACATTGATAGCTGCTCCCTGCAGCTGTCACCTCTGGGTGACCTCAGTGTTCCCTTTTTGCTTTTTCAGTCAATGAAAACTCAATAGTAAATCCTCTCTGTAGTAATACCATCTAATTTCTGATTTCCTGACTAACATATCTCTAAACCTTCCCCCAAAGGAAACTATAGCCATCAGCAGGGTACTGTGCTTTGGGAAAATGTCAACATTTAGATTTTTTCAGGGATTACTAGACAGTGGCTCTCAATGGATATTATGCAAACTGAAACACAGAAAAAGATTTGGAAAAAAAAGAATGAACAGAGCCTGAAAGACCTGTACTAAGTACTGAGAAGTCTAGCATGAGTTTAATTGTAGTCCCAGAAGAAGAGGAGAAACAGAATGGGATAGAAAAAAAAACATTTGAAGAAATACTGGATAAAAGTCTTCCAAATTTGATAAAAGAATTAAAAAAGAAAGAAAGAAAATGAGAAAACAGCAACCCACAGATCCAGAGAATGAAATGAACCCCAAGCAGGATAAATAGAAAACCAAAACAAACATCACAGTGTAATGAAACATCACAGTGTAACTTTTGATAAATATAATGAAAATCTTAAAAGCATTCATAGAAAAAGACACCTAGAAACATCAGTGTAACTTTTGATAAACAAATATAAACAAAATCTTAAAAGCATTCATAGAAAAAGACATAAGACATACAAGAAAACAATGATAAGAATTACAACTAGTTTCTCACAGAAGCAATGGAGGCTGGAAGATGAGAATTACGTCTTTAAAGTGCTGAAAACAAAAACAAAAACACCCTTTGATGGCTTCTCATTGCCTATAGAATAAACTGTAATGTGCTTGACTTCCATAACCTGGTTATTGATTGTATTTCTAGCTATCTTTTGCTCTAGCAATATTCTACTGTTGTTTAATGCCTTTTTATTATGCAGGCTCCTCTATGTGGACAGCTTTTTTCTAGTTAATTGCCTGACTAACCTGACCACACAACTCCTTTCCCCTGTGGCTTAATGTCCTCCTTGCACCTATCTATTTTTGTATTTACTAAACTAATAACAAATATCTGTTTACATTTCATTCTCTGACACTGGTTTGAGCACTGTTTTTTTTTTTTTTTTTTTTTTTTGAGATGGAGTCTTGCTTTGTTGCCCAGGCTGGAGTGCAATGGCTCGATCTTGGCTTACTGCAATCTCTGCCTTTTGGGTTCAAGCTATTCTGCCTCAGCCTCCCAAGTAGCTGGGATTACAGGCGCACACCACCACGCCAGGCTAATTTTTTTTGTACTTTTAGTAGAGATGGAGTTTCACCATCTTGGCCAGGCTAGTTTTGAACTACTGACCTTATGATCCACCAGTTTCAGCCTCCCAAAGTACTGGGATTACAAGCGTAAGCCACCGCACCTGGACTCTCTGTAACAATTTCTAACTATAAGCTATCAGGTTTCTGGGGAAGGTCTTGACATGGAGGTTTATTTTTCCCTTTCTTGTGTTCCCAAATTCTTTTATTTGGGATTGATAAAGTAAGCCACCTGCGTGTTTTTAATCGTAGACAGATTAGCTGCCCATATCCAAAGCGCCACCTGTAGTCCCTAGATAAATTTTGTTTTTGTTTTGAGACGTGGTGTGATCATAGCTCATTGCAGCCTGAAATTCCTGGGCTCAAGCCATCCTCCCACCTCAGCCTCCAGAGTGGCTGGGACTACAGGCACGTGCCACTATGCCCAGCTGATTAAAAAAAATTTTGTAGAGACAGGGTCTAGCTCTGTTGCCAGGGCTGATCATAAGTTTTGACTTACATTTTCTTGTTGCCTGATTCTGGTTAGTCCCTGATCCACTCAGCACTAATTAGCAAGGCTGATTCCTGTTTTTGGTTTGAGTTCCCCTGAAAGAGAGGAAGCAGCAGCCATGTGAATGTTTATATTTGGAAGCTGGGTAGACAGACTGTGAAAGGAAGTCTCTGGGACAGCTCCCACCCCATGAAAACATGTATTGCATCCCTTCTAAGTGCAATTTCATAAATGCCTTTCTGCCTATCTGCCCTTCCAGTCTATGCTTTCCTTTTTCATTGCTGTTTCCTTATTCTTCTTCGACTCCTCTTTTGCATATATTTTTGGAGGTTTCTTAAATTTTTTTTTCAGAGTTCCTGGTAAGAATGAGTGATGAGAAAGATTAAAGAAGGAAAATTAAGATAAAGTGGCTGGGTGCTGTGGCTCATGCCTGTAATCCCAACACTTTGGGAGGCTGAGGTGGGTGGATCACCTGAGGTCAGGAGTTTGAGACCAGCCTGACCAACATTGTGAAACCCGTCTCTACTAAAATTACAAAAAATTAGCCAGGTGTGGTGGTGTGTGCCTGTAGTCCCAGCAACTTGGGAGGCTGACGCAGGAGAATTGCTTGAACCCGGGAGGTGGAGGTTGCAGTGAGCTGACGTGGTGCCACTGTACTCCAGCCTGGGCAAAAAAGCAAGACTCCATCTCAAAAAAAAAAAAAAAAAAAAAAAAAAAATCTGAATGTATGACTTAAGCATATTTTTTTCTGGGTTAATTTTCCCCACTTAAGGTGGTGGTAAGCTACGTGAAGGCAAGAACTGTATTTCTGTCTTTTACCTGTTGTATTTGATTTCACACCTTCTGCCTCCATCAGATGTTAAGTATGTAATTAGAATTAAAATTGAGTCAGGCTGTGCTAACAATTTGATGGGCGATTTTGCAGCAATAGTTTTAACTCTGGACAAGTTTCTTCAAAAATGAATATAATATTAATATCTCAGTCTGTAAACTTTATAAAATGTATCAACAAATAAAACCATTGTATTAGCTTGGGCTGCCATTAACAAAATACTAGATTGGGTGGCTTACACAACAGAAGTTTATTTTTTCAAAGTTCTGTAGGTTGGGAGGTCCAAAAGAGGGTGCTGGCATGGTCAGTTTTGGGTGAGGCCTCTCTCACTGGCTTGCAGATGTCTGTTTTGCTGTGTTCTCAAATGGAGAGAGCTCTCTGGTGCCACTTTCTATAAGGACATTAATCTTATGGGATTAGGGCCCCACCCTTATGACCTAATTTAATTTTTATTACCTCCCTAAAGGCTTAGCCCCAAATAGAGATAGTCCCTGACTTAAGATTTTTTTGACTTTATGGTGGTGCAAAAGCCATATGCACTCTAGAATCTGTACTTTAAAGAGTACCCATAAAACCATCCAGTTTTTCATTATTTAGTAGATTATATGAAATAATACTTTATTAAAAAATAAGCCTTCTGTCAGATGATTTTGCCTAACTGAAGGCTAATGTAAGTATTCTGAGCACGTTTTAGGTAGGCTACACTAAGCTATGATGTTTGGTAGGTTAGAAGCATTAAATGCATTTTTGACTTACGATCTTTTCAACTTATGGTATTTTCAATTTATGGTGGGTTTATTGGAACATAACCCCTTTGTAAGTTGAGGGACATTTATATAGTCACATTAGGAGTGAGGGCTTCAGCATATGAATTTTTTGGGGGGATGCAATTCAGTCCATACCAGTCATGATAAAACATGCAAAGCTATTTAAACCCTTAGAATAAACTCAAAATCCACCGCCAATATTCACTTTGGATGCCAATAATAGAATGTAGACATAGAGTAGCTGTTGCCAAGTTTCATGGTCTACTTAGCCAACCTGAGGATAGTACAGCATAGATAGATAAATTTGTGCTTGACCTTGTGATCCTACATATGGCAGGTTGTCTTAGTCCCTTTAGTGCTGCTAGAAAGGAATACCCAAGGCTGGATAATTTATAAATAAAAAAGGTTTATTTGGCTTATGGTTCTGATGTCTGGAAAAGTTCAAGACTGAGCATCTGCATCTGATGGGAGCTTAAGACTGCTTATACTCACAGCAGAAGGCAAAGGAGAGCTGGTGTGTGCAGAGATTACATGGCCAGAGAGGAAGAAAAAGAAGGGAAGTGCGAAGTTCTTTTTAGCCAGCTCTCAGGGAAATAAAGAGTTACCCCCTTCCCAGGGAGGACGTTAATCTATTCATGAAGGAACCACCTCCATGACCCAACACTGCCCATTAGTCCCTACCTCCAACATTGGGGATCAAGTTTCAACAGGAGGTTTAGGGGGACAAACATCTAAATTACAGCACAGGCTAACCACATGCATGCATTACCAATCAAATAATTTGAAGTTAAATGCAGAAAACTGCAAACTTTTGAGGCTTATAGCCAGGGCCAGGATTAAAATAAATATTAATGCCTTAAACAGTATTTACTGACCATCTACCCTACTACAAGGCCCTAGGGAGAAACTGAACAGACATGGTTCCTGATTCAGTGGAGTTTACAATCTAGGTAGGGATACAGGCAAACCATTTCAATAGCTCGGATGGAGAAAATACCTATGCTCCAAAGAAGGTACCTAACTCAGCAAACTTCCCTGAGGAGCGACTCTAAACTGAGCCACAAAGATGGTT